CCCCCCCAGAAACCCCCGGGTGGGGGCCGAGGGGGCGGTCACTCACTCCTCCACCATCTTCTTGTAGGTAGAGATCTCCTTGGCGTAGAGCAGCTTGTTGCTGGGAGAGTCCTGTGGGGCCACAGCCCAGTGATGCCCAGGCCCAGGCGGGCTGGCCGGTGCCCCTGCCCTCGGCCCCGATGGAGCCAGCTGGCCCCGTTCAGGAAAAGGGGGGGGCAGCACCCGCCCAGCCAGACCTCACCCTGCTGACACTGTTTAGAATTTAGACTCAGACTCGCTTTCTCCGCCTGTGTCAGCAAAGGGTCTGCACGGGGGTGCAGAAGGAGGGGGAGGACAGGGTGCCAGGCCGCCCCAAAGCCCATCACACCCTGGCTAGTTTGCTCAGTGGATAGAGCACTGGCCTGTGGACTGCAGAGTCCTGGGTTCAATTCCAGTCAAGAGCACATGCCTGGGTTGTGGGCTCCATCCCCAGTAGGGGGCGTGCAGGAGGCAGCTGATCAATGATTCTCATCACTGATGTTTCTATCTCTCTCTCTCTCCCTCTCCCTTCTTCTCTAAAATCAATAAAAAAATACATATATATTTTTTTTAAAAAGCCCATCACCAGGGGACCTCCCAGGCTCTGGCCCTGCCCCCACCCCGTTACCTGGCACCTGTCTCTCCTGAACTCCAGCTCCAAATGTGCAAATCCTCACCCACACAAACCGGGCCCTCCTAGCACGGCCACGACTCCATCCCCGTGGACACGGCCCTGCCCAGGCCTCCCAGGTGAGGACCCTGTGTCCCGACCCCGCGGGAGCGGCGAGGACCCTCACCCGGCTAAGCTTGTGCTCCGTGCGCGTGCAGGCGTCCATGAAGGTCTGCGCGATGACGGACAGCGAGGCGTCGACCACCTCGTGGACGTGCACGTCGAAGATGAAGTGGGGGTTCTTCAGGATGTTCACCCAGAACCGGAGCGGTAAACTGAGGCAGACGGGAACGGGTGAGGGGCTACTGAGGCCGGGGTGCGGGCGGGCGCCCCGGGGGCGGGACGGGGGCCCACCTGTTGGTCTTCCAGATGTGGATGGTGTCCTCGTCCTTGATGTCGTGCTTCTCCGCCTGCTCGTCCAGGAAATCGAAGAAGTACTTGACGGCGGGCGGCACGGCCAGGCCCGGCGCCAGCAGCCT